ATAATGTATAAATTGTTACTAATTTATTACTCTGAAATAACAACTAAAATATTGTGCACGTAGTTTCCAAATAGTTTCTAAATAAAAAAGCCAACTATATTCTTCTAGCATGAAAACAACTAGAAATTGTATAACCTTGGTGTATCGTATTATGAATTCATTCCGTATCAAAAATTAAATTTTTAAAGGTAGGTACAATGAATGATTCATTATACATTTTACAATTCCATAAATGTTACTGGTGAAAAATATTTAAGTCCATGAGTAGCCATGAATAGGATTTTTTTTTAATGTTAAATTTTTTTGAATAATTACAATGCACATATAACTATAGATTAATTTTGTTATCTACATAAAATTATCGAACTATATATCTGTTAAATAAATTACATTTTTGAAATTTGGAAAATTACTATCGACATATTGAAGTAGTTCCAATACTTCGACCCAATTATTTTTGTCCTGTTTTTCGGAGGGATTTCGCGTGTTTGCACACATTTTCCCACCATATACGTGCGTGTCAATAGCCTTCTATTTCTAGCCGCTTGCATGTTAATGTCTAATCAATGATTTGGACTCCTGCTCGTTATAAATACAGTTATATTACAATCGCAATAGTTATTTAGCTTAAATATTGTCGTCTACATGTGTTATATTATGCAGCGGACATATAGCTGCACTATTTACTTTCGTTATAACCTATAACAGTACATAAGTACATAACCTATGTAATCTATGTTTAATAAATTACATAATACGCATCTTTTCATATTAAATTCAAGATCTGCTCACGCTAATAACAACCAATGTACCTATTATATAGGCTATCAGTATAATTTTGCCAAAATACTATTCTATAACTATAGTGTTGTTAAACTACATATTTTGACAATATTAATTACATAAATTTATAAAACAATGTTTTATTCATCAATGTTGGACAAACATTATGACCTTGAGCTTAGGTGAAAGCGCTGATAAGTAAATATACTATTTATTGCCATCATTTTTTATTTTAAATCAAATTCAAATCGTATTATATCAACTTATAATTTGGCAGATAATGAAATATTGCGAAGTACTTACAATAAATTATGTTATACAATAATTTGTATCTTATTTATAAACATGAAGTGTATTAAAAGTGCACTTTTAGGTTAAGTGTATTACAAAATAATATAACGTTTATTTGAATTTATTTTTACATAATTTTAAATACTGACAAAGCAACATTTTTAAGATATTTTATTTTTTCAATATTTTTGTCATTATGATTGCGTAGGTACTTGCTTACTTATTGAATGACAGCGTATGTCTACCAATCCACTAATCTAAATTTTAGAACTAATAACTAATAAATTACATAGGTACTCGTTTTATATTTTGTTTATATATTGTAAATATTCAGCCTAGGAATATGTAATTTAAAATGTATGCTGTCTTTAAAAAAGTTAAAAGTTAAGAAACTACAACGATAAAAAGAAGTAATAAATATTATTTTTTTCCCAAAAATATCCATTCTTTAAATTCGTAAAAAAATATTTCCAAATTCCTAAATATTTTTCGACAAAATAAGTATTTACCTTTAAATAAACTAACTTGTATTTATCGATTATAAAGAGGTATGCAACCCAATCATTTTAACGCAAATTTACAAGAGAGAACATCTAATTAATGCGAAAGTTTTTAACTACTCAAACAATGCAAGTATTCATAAGAACACTTTTTTTTTTTTGTAGACTTTTTATACGAGACATAAAGCTACCTGAAATATAGTTTACTAAAAGGTTCATTATATTATTACAATTTATGAGTATTCAATATGGAAAATACATGTTTTTTATTTTTCATAAAATAACTTAGCGATTTATGAATTTAGGATGGTTTATTTTTTAAGTGTAATTGTTGTGTTTAATAGTTTTTTTTTTTTATTATTAAAAAAGACAATTTACAATCTGTACTTAACAATTACAATAAGAAAATTAGATAAAAAACAGAATAAAGTAACATGAATATCGTGTTTAGGAAGAAACAAAATGGTAACACCTCCTTACTATTTAATGCTTAATGCATTTTGTCATTATTTAAACTTTATACTGTATTATTTATTTATAATTAAATAATAAATACCTATAACGGCTAACCTATTATATTAACTATAATAAATTTAAAATTGAAAGTAAAATAACTAGCAAGTGTTACCTTTTTATTTGTAATAAATAATAATTTACGCATTGGTAAACTTGAATTTCTATGTACACAGCACATTAAAATTTTTATATTTATTTTAAATATCAACTAATAATATGAAGTTTAATTTTCTTCCTAATCATATATAGATATAAATGTCATAATTAATTTATCACGGATCCAAATTACAAACATACAAATAAAAGCAATAGCGTTTTAGTTAGGTATATTTAATTTGTATCATTGTAGGTCACATAATATTAGGTATCATATTATATTATAATATTGAGTATTTTTTAGGTCAAAAATAGCATGTCACATATCAGACTGATATCATATAAAATTGAAAATCGTACACATGTCATATACATTTATCAAAAAGTGTTTTCAGATATTAAATAAAATCAATATTGCGCATTAAGTTTAGTTAAATAAACCAGGCCATTCGGATAGATTTCCAAACATACGTTGCAAAATGATATATTATTGAGGGAAGCACACCTCTAAAGATTCTAAACATAAATCTATAGGTTCTTGTAGCTAAGATTGTAATGTTTAAAATTTAAATATGATTTAGTTTTTACTCACCAACGTGGCAACGTGAACTGTTATAAATTTAAAACCGAAAATAAAGGACCTATGTTCTATAACATACAGATTTCTTAATCAATATAAAATATTTTTATTTTTTGTTGTTAAATTTTATCACAACTTTATAAAGTGTTTGTATAATTTATACTCTTCTATAGATATTTACTACTATAAATTCGAAAATATTTGTAATCTGGATGTGCTGCATCATAATTTAACAGAAATGATAGGCACGCTGCTCACGCATTTAAACCAGATTGCAGGTAAAAAAATTGTTATCAGTACTTAGTAAATTCAACTGTAGATATAAATCGCAAAATGTATGTATTTTTTTGTTGAATGGTTACTGACAAACTGTATTTTAGTTAAATATTTTAAATGGATTGCCTCCAACTCGCAATTCATTGTATGGATCAAAAAACTATACGGCCGCCGAAAAGTATTTTAATCCACAGAACTGATGAAATACAACGTTACATGTAATTTAATAAACAGTCACACTACTCATACTGGTCAGTATTATGATTTATGAGCATTAGTTTGTAATTTAAATGTAATCTTCCAAAATAAGCCAAGAAAATAATACATTTTTTATTTAACTTACTACAGAGTACTATTGTTTTAATAATATTAAGCTTTATTAACAGTAGGTAAAGGGTGTTCGAGAACGAGATGATATTTCATGAAAAATTAATAATTTTCTGACAATTTAATTTTTTTTATATTATTTACTAGAATGATTTGGAGTTAATTTTTTTAGTATCTTATTTCATATTTCAAACATGATAAATTGTCGATATTATTTACATTAATAATTGTTAAATTGTTTAATAGTTGTTAAATATTATAATATATACGTTTGACTATTTTAAGCATTTCCAATAATTAAATTAAGTCTACATAATACAATAGGTAATCATTAGGGTTCGGATTTGAATGCAATATAATCAATAAAAAAAGCATTTAAAATGTTAAAAAAGGCAAAAAAAGGCATTTAATTTATATGAAAAGGCAATTCATAAATATACTACAAAATAAAATAGTGAACATTTTTTAAACACTTTTAAATGCACACATTTTGAGAAAAATACAAATTAAAAATGAGCATGAATACTAAACTAGGTATATTAAGTTTATGGTATTTTGTATAAATAGATTAGGTATCTTTTTCTTTAACCAGGTTTGTCCTAAGAATTAGTTAAAAACAATTTTAAATATTAACTTACTTGAGTTATACCAGTTAATTTAATGCAAAATAAACAAAAGGTAAAAAAAAGGCAAAAAGGCATATATAAGTAAAAAGGCAAAAAAAAAAAGATCCATACTCTAAGAAATTAAATGAAACACATTTTTGTATAAAAATTATTTTTCTATTATGATTTATGATTAATAAAAGAAAGGCATTTGCCTTCAAATCCGAACCCTAGTAATCATATAATAAATATTTTTAAAAGTGTATAACTGTAAAAGTGTGTTTTTTTTTTGGCTGACGCTTAATGAAACAGTTGCTTATTTTCTTACATTAATTTGTATTTAAGTTGGAAGAATCTCCAATTTAAATGTAAATTATAACGAATAAACTAAACATTCAATTTAAAACGTTAAACTGGTTTATCAAAAAACCTAAAATGTATAGGTAAAGAGAATAATAATATAGGTAATATATTATTATTATATCGATTGAAATACTCGGAATTGTTGGTCATACTCATACATAATATATTCCTCCATTGAGGTTGGTCATAATAGATCACCTAGCTAGAAATATACTGGAATCATCTATGACTGTTATCCTGATAACTCTCCAAAAAATTCAAAAAACAAACTACTGAAAAAATGTCAAGTAAAAATACGACACATCTTTTTCTACCATATAAAATATAAGTAATGTACCTACACATTTTATGTTTTTTAATAGAATGTTGAACCAAATAGAAAATTTTAATAACTGGTTTATTTGTTCTGTGGAGTTTTTAGTTTATACGATTTGAAATTTTAATGTTAAAGGATGGAATAGATGAATTTAATGAAATAAGATTTGAGGTTTTCAGTGTTATTTGTCAAGAAATCAAATATTTATATGCAAATACGGGTTCGCGTGATGTATCATTAAACGGTCATAATATTGTAAGTATTTTAGAAAACGCATCGATAAGCCTAACCTATCCAAACGATATTCTATAATATATGGTATGTTTGTACACTAAAATCGAACTTACCTCTATGTAAGTACGTCCGAGCGGTATTCGCGGACTTGACATGGTGTCCCGGCAACGGTAAGGCCGTGGTGTCGAATTCGTACGACATTTGCATCCTATAAAGCTCCAGCATGGCGGCTGGTATCTCCACTTTAGACTTGTCCACCACCGGTCGGCGCTTCATGCCCAACGCGGCCAGCAAGTGCCTCTCCGCCTGGCCGGCGTCCTTGAACGCGGCTCTAGCGCCCGACGGTCTCGGCGTTTCGCCGCACACTATGCCTGATATCACAGCCACCATCAACAGCACACCGCTTATCATTGTCGATCAAGCACCTGCAAATCAATAAACACATCGTTAATTTGTTTTTATGTTCAGTCAATATATTATTATATGTTCGGACGGGTAAACAAAATTATATTGGCCTGATCAATTAGTCAAATATGATTGTATCAGACGCTGGACACGTGCCTATAAAACATTAATCAGCGCATTTGCCACATTACGATAATAACAATATTACGTATACCTAATTATAATCTTTATTAGCTTCGATTTAATTATCATAATTATTTATATGTCTTATTTAAGTCGGTAGGTATATATACCTATCAAAACATTACAGTAAATATAAGTTCCTACCTATATTATTGAAAAAATAATTTACTTTAAAGTTGGGTTGTAAGTGTAAATTGTACAACATGTTATTGGAATTTTTGTTGTATTATATTTATTAATTTTTAACTATTTTGAAATCATATCGGTTTAAAATTTTTTTTAAATCATTTTTTAAACAGTAAAAATATTAAAATGAATTCTTCCTATGTTTTGATTAAAATTATAATTTTAAGTTTTTTTTCCAGCAATTCAGGATTAAATATTAGGTACTCAATGTTAGTCATAATGTATATTCTAACATTATTTCATACGTTTTAAAAATCTTTATAAGTAAATCATTTAAATAAGAAATTTAAACTTGGATACAATAGATCAATACTTTCACTGATCTGCAGGGTACCACCTACGGGATCTTTTTTACAAAAATGATTTTTCTCATACAATTTATTATTCTAAATTAGGGTGACCATTTTAAGGAAATAAAAAATCGGGACAGTTGTTATCTCTCTCCAAGAAAAAAAAAATGTTCCATAGTCTATACACATTTGGTGGCGGTGGCGGTAAAATAAGTCCGGACATGATTTACCGCCATCGCTGCACTGTGTCGGAGCCTTAACTTTAGTTATAAAACTGTTTTATATTTGTTTCATACATTGATTTCTTTTAAAGATACAACGTAATAAAATGGAAAAAAGGGATTAAAACGGGACCATCCTCTAAAAACGGGATAAAAAGCGTCCTGTTCGAAGTTTGTCGGAACAGCGGGACATGATGGTCAAAAAAGTGTCAATCCCGTTTTAAACGAGAAGCCTGGTCACCCTATAACTAAATAAGTACTAGGTATATACAATTATGACTATCGTATTGAACTAGACATATTTCCGCCAGTTTCTGTATTTTGTATGATGGAAAAAAATATATGATATTATTTAATATACTATAAAGCACCTAATATTCTTAAAGTAAATTGTAAAAACAATAATCATTTACATATTTACAAATTTAATATCGATATATATGGGTTCAATCAACAAATTATAATTTTTATTTAATTTTTTTAATTTTTACATTTTATCACATTTCTAAATAAATACCAATAAAAAAAAAAAACAAATCAAAATATATGTCGTAAATTGTAATTGGTGTTATAAAATAAAACGAATACATTTTTTAAAAAAATAATAGCTGAAAATATGTTGTTTTTTATTACTTTTAACTTCTGTATCTGGGGAATTGGTTGAACATTTTACGTATTTTGCGTATAAACTGTAGGAAGGTACTTAAATACAATAATTTTTAGCTAGCATTTTCAATTTTATTAATATTTATATTTCAGTATTTAATTTGTTTAAAGGAAGAGTAAATACAATAGAATATCAATAACCAATATATACAATTATTGAATTGTAATTTTTAATAAACAGGTAGTTACATATTGTAAATAGGCTTCATAGTAATCATCTAATGAACTTATAAAATAAAAAAACATTGATCAAGAATCTTGTTAAGTATATAAACTTTAATAAAATTATTATTATTCCTCATAATATAATCAAACCGTAGTAAAATTTAAAAAACAATACCGCAGAATGCAGAGATTAGTCATCAAGAGGTCAAAGACTAAATAATTTTTCGCGGAATCGTAATAAGTTTTATTTACAATATGCACTCCTGAAATTTACTTTAAATTAACTATTAACTATACCTAGGTCTTTATACGTAGGTATAATTAATAATAATTGTTGTTTTTAATTATTTGAACTTGTGGGGAGCAATTATTTTTTGGATGTATATTATTCAATATAGTACTCAATACACGTACTGGTGAAAATGAAACCTGTATTTAATTGACCGGCTACCGTAAAAGGCTTATAATATTAGAGTTAAATTTACAATCTTCACGAGTAAAGAAATACGAAGACAACTAAAAAAGTGCAGCACGTGACAATCATTGCGATTTTATGCTTCATTGATAATAGTTTTCTTTTGTGTCATTCATTTTATGATGTCTAAAAACGTTTGTAATTAGTATTCCACAAAGCTAATCCATATATATTTTTTATATTCTTTAAGTGCTGTGTTCAATTATATAGTTATTTTCATAAACGTATTCACATAAGGTTCTAAGAAAACGTCTTAAGATCACACCCTGTCACCCTGATGTCCGTAGAGCTAAATTTACAAACTTATACGTTTGAGTGTCATTGCTTCATTCTCCGAATACTAAGTATATTATATAGAGTTAGAATATCGAATAACTAACAAACAATCGTTTAGGTAATTTAATTCAACTGGTCACAATAATTGGTGTATTTTATACCTACCTTATTAGTTATTATTGAATTGAATTTTACTGAGAGGTCATTTCAGCAGTTCAAATGGTTGAAACATTAAGGTTTCATGAATATTTAATTAAATATTGTATGGTATGGTGTAGTATGGTACCTACATATTCAAGTTATAGTCTTGGAAATATAATTTAACTTTGAATTTGATTCAATCGAAATAAGTACAAGGGAAAAAAACGATTTTTTTGAGTTAATTTCGCATACCTTTTGTAGAACCTTAATTTTATATCTGTAAAATATATTCAATATTTATAAATTGAAAAAAGCCCATGAAATATCTGTAAGTTTGATAATAGTGAGGATAACAGGTAACAGTGTACAAATAACTTCAATTTAGCATCATAATCAATAAGATATCTCTAATTCAATAACTTATTGTGTATATTATAATGCACACTGCTATAACGAAAAATTAATATTTTTTTTATCTAAAATAGAAAACCAAACATACAAATATTCAAATAGAAATAATACTGAATATAAAAAAAATTGAACTTGTTAAGCTTTTCATGTCCACTATTATTTTTATAAAACAACATTATTATTTGTTTAATTGTTTAGACAATTTCAATGTACCTATTCTATATTGCCACACTATGCAGTGCTTGTTATTTCGAACTAATCGAGCGGGTGCACGCGCACGATGGCAAACGTCTGAAATCATAATAAGATTTCAACAATTAGGTATATAGTTCATTGTACAAATACTGAAATATTACGCACATAAAATACAGATTATGCAAACACATATAGCGTATAATAATATGTAAAATTATCTTCGTTTTCAATTGATTACTGTTTTTCTAGGTTAAATTGTATTTTATAGTCACGCTGTATATGGTCAATGAATTTTTTGATCGATGAAATGAAAAAAATTGTGCATTCATATTTATACGTAGGTACCTACCTACATTATATATCATAGGTACATAATATTATTATGATCCTATATGCGGTAACCGTCTTACAACACGAGATATCTACGAACGGTTTCAAGGTGGACAGATGACCTTTCGAAAAGTGACAATGGGTGTAATACGGAATCGCAAAATAAAAAAAAATCCATTACCACCGTGAAAGAGAAAGGTCATAGCCATTGGTTAGATTAACGGCATTTTGGAACAGGTTGTTATCGTTACAGGTGCCTATACCGCGGAATGATACGTGCAATGTGAATACGTGATACAATACAGATGTTTAGGCGTTCAAAAGTTGACGAAATAACGTGTTTCCAATAATATTTTCTGTATTGTTTACAGGCGGATTTACAAACACGCCGAATGCTGACGATGATTGATATTTTGTACATTGCAACTTTCGCGACAGAAGTACGGGTTTTAGTGTTCTTCGGTCCAATCGGGTCCGATTCGGATCAAACCATCTATTAAAATACTTTCTGAAGTATATATTATTACATTATGTTATATGAAATAAACGCATTACGCTATAATTATTATTACCACTTAAATGTATACGTTTATTCACGAGTTTGTGCATTAACTATATCAAAAACCGATCGTGGAAAGAAGGACAAAATTGAACGACGAAAACTAAAATAAATTATCACAGACAGTTGATAACGACGTAATTATTTTTGTGTTTTTTTCTCATACACACATAGTAATATTATGATATTATTATGTTACATACACCTCTCACGCGATTAACTGCGATAACGACGAGAATTTATCGTCACGGGCCCCCCAGACATCGTGGAGCCAACAGACACGAAACCGTCGTTACACGTGGTATTTTTGACTTATTTTTTTATTTACGAAAGGCTCGCCGGTAATAGGTTAAGTAGAACACACGACACGTACCTGTGACACGGTCTTTGTCGGTTTTCATGCCGACAAATATGGCCGGCGTATTCGTTCGTCGTACTAAATATCAACAATCTCGGTACGGCCCAAGAGAGCGACACACCAAGAAATCAATCGTAAATTTCATAAAAAAAAAAGCAACAACAACAATACTTTTAAAACGGAAACCGATATTGAAAGTTTTTATTTTTGTTGTATTCGACGGAATACTAATATTGAAATAATAATGTATACTATTATTGATGCAGATGAGAGGTAATCCGCGGTCAAAACGAACAAGACATCGTGATAATAATTATTACTATTATTATTATTATTATTATTATTATTATATTGTTGGCGTGACGGAACTTTCGAACCTTCGGAAAAAAAAAATTCTTTAATAAAATTGTAATAACGAAACGAACGCGTATTAACAGGTAATAACGGCGTAAGCGTATAAACCCCGTTCGCGAACGTGTTTGTCGTCGTGTGGCGCCCGACGCACAGCGAGAGACTGCGGCGAGAATAAGAGCAGTACCGCGCGGTTCGA